TGAAGTTGGATTTTTCTAGCATCCGTGGACGGATGGCCAGACAGAGAGAACTATCCAGTATGTAGAGGATTTGTTGAGAGCTGGTGTGTGGATCAAGATGGATCAGGGGGTAGATAATTGTCGCTGATTGAGTTTACCTACGTTAGCCGTTTTCATTCTAAGTATCGGAATGGCATCATATGAGGCTTTGTATGGTAGGAGGTGTAGGACTCCTTTGTGTTGACGTGTGTCCGGCGAGAGTGTTATACTCGGACCTGAGATTGTGTAAGAGACGACTGGAAAGATCAAAAGGATCCCAGATAAGACGTGTTTTGAGAGTTACAATAGTAACTGGTGTTGGTCGAGCTTGAGGTCTCAGAAACACCCTGTGTTTTGTTTATCTGCATCAGAGTGGCGCAACAGAAGCGTAGAGAAATTAGCATGCTAGGCTGTTTTACCGCTGTCGCTTGTGGGAATTGCATAATGTGTTCATGTGTCTAAGCTGAGGAGGTACATTGATTCAGATGGATAGTGTGCAAGTGAGGGATGATTTGATGGTTGAGGCATTGCTAGTTCAGGTTGATGAACGAGAGGCAACTTTGAGGTAAAGGAATTCCTTTGGTGGAGGTAATTTGGGAGACTAGGATACGAGAGTCGTATCCAGAGTGGTTTGATTGAGGTAATTTCGAGGACAAAATTCTTTTAAGTAGGGGAGAGTTGTAACGTCTGTTTTATTTCGATTAAATTTAATTATGACTTCGCCATGTCTCGTTGCGTCGTAGTCGTATTTGAGTATGTGATCGTCTCGAAGAAAGGAATTGAATCGGTCGAATTGTCGGGAAAAAGTGCAAAATCCCGTAGCAATTTAAGGAAAACTTCGAAAATTCATATCTCTTGATTCGTAAGTCGGTTTTAGCCCCCGTTCGAAGCGTTGGAAAGCTAAAGAGATGTTCTATCTAGGAAAAATGAGATTTTTCTGATGTGACGGTCGTCACAGACATGTGATGGTCGTCACGGTCGTTACGAACGTCATGAACCCATTACGACCGCCATGGCCTTCACGCTCGTGACGCTCGTTACGCTCGTCATACTAACAGAATCCAATTAAGCAGAATTTGGAACGTGGCCACGATAATGTTGAGAAGTTATAGTGATGTATTTTGGTATTCCTCGTACTCTCAATTTAGTTTTCATTGTTATGAAAGATAAACCGTAAAGGAAGAAAGAGAGTGGCTGAGAGAAGATTGATCATCGGAGGAATTGCAAGCTATGACAGAAGAACCACCGTGGAGATAAATCAGAACCGGAAGTATAGGATTGGCCTCAATTCCAAGGTAAGGGTGGGGTTCAATTCTATAACCAGGGGTATGATAGATTTCATGAAGGGTATGGAATCATGGGTGTAGTTTCCGTAGATTGATAAATATTAGAGATAAGATTTGTCTGTGTCGGAAACAGTGTTGTCTTTGATCTGTATGATACTATATGAGTTATCGTTCCATAAGTAACGTAAACATGTAGATAATTAAGTATGAAGAAATTGTAATGCCGTTTTGTGGAAATGTCTTGAGTTCTTATTTGTTGATAATGATGTTGTTATCGTTCCCTTATATGAACATATTGAAATGATGAATACTTGATGCATATGAAAATGGTGATGTTCTGTTATAATTAAATTGGTTGTAGGCTTAATGCCTTGTTGCGTGGTTGTTGTCATTTGTTTCTGACATGAACAAGGTGAGATGGTGAGTACATGATATGTGCGAAATGGTGATGTTTCTGTTATGGATAATTGGTTGTAGGCTGGATGCCTTGTTGTTGAGTTGTTGTTGTTATGTTGCAGTCCATAATAGTTGCGTCCCATAGCATATCATATTTGATGGCCTGTATTGGCGGTCCTTAGTGGCAAATTCTGTGATGGCCTGTATTGGCGGCCCTTAGTGGCAAATAATTTGATGGCCTGTATTGGCGGTCGTAATGGCAATCTGGTACCACATGCATATGCACAGTTGAGTCGCATTGTTGAGTCGCATTGTTGAGTTGCGTTGTTGAGTTGTTTTGATGAGTTGCTGAATTATAATGATAATTGTTGTGGTTATGAATAAAGAGTTGTTGTAGTTTATTATTGATGATATTTGTGAACTGCTGGAACTATAATGCTGTTATAATATTCTGACATGACTTTTATCATGCCTTATGTTATATTGTTGATATCTCACCCTTTACGTTGTATGTTACCTCCATTGGTGGTAATTTGCAGGAGATCCGGAATAGATTATAGCGTTTTGTTTAAGGTGTCGTCGGTCGATCTAATACGTAGCAATCTTAGGGGGATGAACGTTTAATATTTTGTTTTAGTTGTTTTCTTGTTGCTGAATTTTATTGAGTATTCTTCGTGAAATTGGTTGTTATTGTCGAATACTAAATGCTGGTTGTACGCACTAAGCCGGAGAATCGGTAGTGCTGAATTTTGATGGAAAACTAGTTGTTTTAATGAATCTATGCAAGATGATTCCTTGCTAAATTTTATGGAGTTTGGTTATGGTGAATGGTTGAAAGTATATTATGACATGTCGTTTTATGATTAAAATGTTAAACAAATTATTGTTGTCTGTTCATCCGAACCTGTGCTACGTATGTGAATAAATGATTGTGTTGAAGATGCATGTTGTCTGCTAAGTTGAATATGTGACACCTCTGATGCGTCCCAGAATTTGGGAGTGTGACGGTCGTCACTACTCCCTGACGCTTGTCATGACCGTGACGGTCGTGACATCCATGACGGTCGTCATGAAACTTTATTTGCTGCACTCTGAATTGTTTCTGTTGTTTATCTTATTTTTCTGTGATAGTTTAGAGTGGGGTGTTACACCTAGCAACTAACCTTTCCTTAAAGTGTTTCGACATCACTCCTTTGGTTCCTTCATTGACCTTGAAAATCCACTTACAACTGACTAACATGGCTCCTGTAGGTTTCTTTATCAGCTCCCAAGTGTTATTATCATGAAGAGATTTAATCTCGTCATCCATGGCTTTTCTCCATTCAGTCTTATTTCGACTCTTCATAACTTCCTTGTAGTCTTTAGGCTCTTCCTCAAGTACCTCACTTGCAGAGATTAATGCAAAAGTTATAAGATCTGTATAACCAAGTCTCTAAACGACTCTTTTCGACCTATCTCTTTCCAGTAGGTAGTCATCGACAGTTTCCTCAGTCTCTTCAATATCTTGCCCTTCTTCTTCGACTTCATCTGGGTTATGCACATTAGCATCACTATGCTCCACCTCAACAGGAATCTCTACTTGTTTCAGCTCCTCTTTATATATTTTTGCACTTCGTCTAGCATCACCAGTATTATTGAACGCCATCTCGACCTCATTAAAAACTACATCGCGACTTATGATACATCTTCTGTAACCTAATTCTAGGCACCACAACCTATAGCCTTTGACTCCTTCAAGATATCCAAAGAACATGCATCTCAGAGCTCTAGGTCCGGCCTTGTCTTGCCTAATGTAAGAATAGGCTAAACAGCCAAATACTCTCAGTTTTTCAAGATGGGGTGGTTAACCCGACCAAACTTCTTCAGGTGTATTCATTCCCAAGGTAGTCAAGACATCTATTTATCATATAAGCTACTTTTGAAACAACCTCAGCCCAAAATACCTTCTTCAATCCAACACTAACCAACATGCATCTAACTCTTTCAAGGATTGTTCGTTTAAATCTTTCAGCTAAGCCATTTTGTTGAGTATTACCTGCTACAGTCTTATGCCTTGCAATCCCATACTCGACACAGTAGCTGTCAAAAGCTTCATTGCAAAATTCAAGGTCATTGTCGGTTCTCAACCTCTTGACCTTTCTTCCAGTTTGAGTATCGACCAGAATCTTCCAACTTCTGAAATTCTCAAAAGTTTCAACCTTTGTCTTTTTAATAAATACCCATAAATTTCTAGAATAGTCATCAACTATGGATAGAAAATACCTTGCACCTGAATGTTGAACAAGAAGAACTCGCATCTTCAAGCGCCATAAACCGAAATCCTTAACTCCGGTGAACTTCTCAATTTCAAACTTTGTTGTCGGCATCTTCCTCCACACTCACCGCGCCAGTTTGTTGTAACAAACAATACCAGTTAACAAATAAATCTTTGAGAAACAGAGTTTCTTTATGAACAATGAAACGATTAGGTTAACAAAGAGAGAGAGAGAAGAAAGATGGAGAATAGGATTGGACAAATTGTTTTTCTATTCACTTACTCAATTAGGATACAAATGATTACAAGTGAATAAAAACAATTGGTCTCTCTCAACAACTTGAAAAAACTAGTCTATTTATAGGCTACTAAGCTAACTTAAATAACAAGCTAACCTAAACAATTGGATCAAATAAACAAGGTCTAATTCGACATTACAAATTAGAACTAACTTCGACTACAGCATGTAACACTTCGACGTCAGCATGTGAATCAGCTTCAACTTCATGCTTATCTCCTATCAAAACATAAAAAAATTTCCTGCTGACAACATCTCAGTCGACAACACTAGAGTTCGATCCAAATATCTCAGATACATCTTAAGTCATTTGAAGTGAATTAACATTAATTTGAACCTTTATTCAACCCAGAATATAAATGTTTATTAGAAAATCAAACATAAATACTAAATGCATGCTTAAGTGTGAGAATCATCTTACTATAGTCACCTTTATATTCAAGCTAAATTAATCAACTCAACGTATTAAAGAAACTCGGCCCACAACAGTGCTGTTTAGCAACATGTATGAACTATGAACTAGAATAGAACAATTGAAATGTTCATATCTGCCTACTTTTGAAAAAGTTTCAAACGAAATTTCATTATAAAATTTTATAATTGTTGGAAGGCATTCATATTATCAGTTCAAATAATTACTTATTGCCAGAATGTTAAAAACACAAATGCACTCAAAATTTCTAACTACAACATATTTATATTTGAGGTTAACCTAAAGCAACTAAAAGTTTCAAACTACAATGAACATTTATCTGCTTTCTTCCCTATAGTTACGTTCAACAGCTTCATGGTCTAGTGGTTGAATCCTTATAATGATTTCTGGCACTGGCAGCACAATTGGTTGCACCTGCGACTCACCAACCTTTCGACATGTTTGAAGAAGAGATTGTCTGCACTTGGGACATGATGAGTGTTCCTTTAGCCATTTGTCAATGCAACGGACATGGAAACCATGGTTGCATTTCGGCAAAATGCGCACCTTTTCGCCCTTTGTAAATTCTGAGAGACATATCACACACTCCATATCCAAACCTGGTAATTTAAGCTCAGTTGAATAACTTACTGTTGGGAATGTCTTGAGAGCCTTCTTCTTGATTCCTTTGTTGAGCATTTGAGATGTAGAGTTGCTGCTCGAACTCGAAGAAGCATTATTGTTGATGGCTACGTTAGAAAACCTCAAGGCACACCTTATAATGGAGTTTAATACAAGTGAACATATAAGAGCACACAATAGAACTGCAACTATCATCACAACATTTGAATTAAATTCAAGGGCTCCGAAAGGTGAGTCTGTTGAATTATTATTGTTTGTTAAAACAGGGAAGTTGGTGTGTGATTGATGATCAACTGGGTTTAGGAAGAGTAACCTTCTTGTGTTAGATTCAACAAGAAGCTCATGGAGGAGTGGTGAAGTAAAGGAAGTAGAAGCATACATGTTCTTTGTTAGAAAACTGTTGAGTTGGTGGTTAGAGCTAGAGGGTTGTTGTTATATTGTCATAGATGAGTGAACTATATATATATTGTTATTGTAACTGACTTTGATTAAAGTTTAATGTGTTTTTCATCCTTTTGTTTCTCCACTGATCACTGTCTTTATGTATATTATTTAATTTGATTTATATAGGGTCCATTTTATTTTCACTTTATGCCAACAAGAATGGCAACTGAATTTCATAAATCATACTATATATAGTTATTATATATTTATCAAGTTGAATTGATATTTCTCGCTAAACAAAGAACCCATCAAGCTCAAAAAGGAATAGTAAAGAGAATAATTGATGCTAAAATATATTTTTTTCAAGGTTGAGGACTTAATGCAATGCGGACAGGACAAGTCACTGGAAAAGCGTTGTGGAAAAGGTCTTTTGTTTTCTTACCTGCCAACATAGAACTCTTATAACGAGTGACATACGACAAGTTGAGTTTCAAAACATTGATATCAACCCAAATTTAAATCCAAAAAGTATACCAAAACCTCTGAACTTCTGATTGAAGCCCTCCACCACCCCTTCGTGCTCTCCAAATACTAACATCTCGAGCCGAGCACCCATTGACTTGCACCATGAGAGTCCCCGAGAAAACATGCATGAATTTAAGGTTTCAGCTTTAACTAAACTCATATCTATTATATCAAAAGATTCATTATTCTAGAAATTCTTTAATGGTCCTTTACTCTTACAAATTTTCATGTTTTTTTTTCCATCTGCCACGCAACAAAACAAACTGCTGCTTTGGTTTTGCTTTTTCATTAAAAGTTTTACTGGTTTTTGTTGAAAAAGAATTACAAGTGTGAGTAGTGTGGATAATAGTCTTACATTAGATAGGAATGTGGTGACTCGACCATTTATAAGTGAGAGAGCTCACACACCTATCACCTTAAAGTTTTGGGTGAATATGTGGTATCTCTCTCACTTGTGTTACTCTTGACCCAATGTTCAATATTTCCTGGTGAAAAACTACCCCAACAAATAGTATCATGAGCCTTTGATTCGAGTAAAGGGATCGACTTATATGTATCGAAATGCCTAGAAAAGAGTTGTATCAAAATGGCTAGTAAGAGGTGTCTAGTAATTGGTGTCAACGGTGGTACAAGTGTTTGTGAAAAAAAGAGTTTCCACATGAGGCGGAGTATTGTGGATTCACACTTGAGGAGGAGTGTTGAAAAAGAATTACAAGTGTGAGTAGTGTGGATAATAGTCTCACATTGGATAGGAATGTGGTGACTTAAGCATTTATAAGTGATTGAACCCACACACCTATCACCTTAAGATTTTGGGTGAATATGTGGTGTTTGTTTCACTTGTATTGCTCTTGACCCAATGTTTAATGCTCCCTAGTGAAAAGCTCCCCCAACAGTTTTTTCATTTTCCACATTATACTATTATTTCAAAAAGCATTTGTATGATCAAACATGTCAAATCATCTCTCTCTCTCTCTCTCTCTCTCTCTCTCTCTCTCTCTCTCTCTCTCTCTCTCTCTCTCTCTCTCTCTCTCTCTCTCTCTCTCTCTCTCTCTCTCTCTCATCTTCTTTACAAATCGTAATGATACCGTCAAATTTCTTCGAACAACAAATCCAGATATAAAGCCGATAGAGCTATCGAACTCGATCCTACACATGCGATTTCCTATCTTCTCAAAGTTACAGATGCCTTTGTCTTGCCATTTTGTATCTAAATTTTTATTGTTGTTCTTTCAGAAAGTATGGAACCGAGATTCGAGCAGGTAAGCTAATGTTATGGTTACTTCAATCTATATTGCTGCTGAAACTCAATCTTCTCAAGCAAACTCTAAAAGTCGATGTGTTAATTCAAGATATGAAATCAGAAGAGTTAGTACCAAACAAGGTTTGTTTTCCTTGTCTTTTTACAAAATTTCAGATGACAGTTAGTGACAAGTAATTTATCATACACGTGGCTTTATTCAGGTCATTTTGACAACCTTTCTGAAGGTATATTTAGAGGAGGTTTGTTTGAGAAGTCAAGAGAATTTGTAGCCGACCTTGAATATTCGGGCTATGAGGAAGATAAGGTAATAGTAATCTCTCAATTGAACAAAGAACGTTTTTTTTGTTTTTCTGCGTCTGAATATTTGTAAATAATTTCATACCATTATCCAGACTATGTTAATAATACCTGAAGTTTATTTTATATCACAAATTCGCCTTCTTCTTCAATGACATTGTCTTGTAAGCAGTTTCAAGAAACTTTCAATGATGCTCCAAGCTCGGCGACATATTCGTTAGTGCGGAGTAAGCTGCAACAGTTTTATCCGAAAACTGTGCCTTTAGGGGCTCAAAAAGCTAAAGAGAATGTTATTGTGACAGTTCGGTTTCGGCCTTCGAAGTAAGTGTTTTGTTTTATGAGTAGTGTATTATAGTTGTTGTGACTGTTGTGATGTGTTGTGTTATGGCTGTTGATGTTAATTTGATTGAGGTTTAGTTTTTGAGTGTCACAATCCTATGGAAATTCGTCATAGGGAGGAGATTGCTTGGTATGCAGATGGATATACAATATTGCGAAATGACTATAATCGGTCCATAGCATATGATTACGGTATGATATGCCAAGCTCCTATTTCTAGAAGGGAAAGAAAGATACTGCCAAGAGGCCAAAGATTAGGATCATTCTTGTAAGATTTCTATGTTCATTGGTATTAATTATTAGTTGTTAAATGTTGGGAACAATTGTATGTTAATATCCACAAATGATGATGTTTTGATAGTATAATTACAATATGGTATTGTTTTACACAAAGTTGTAATTTGGCATGTAGTGGATAGTTTTCTCAAATTGGTTTGGTTTTTTTGACAGATGATTCCTTGTCTTCTAGAGTTTTGGACAACATGGGAGGGAGCCTATTACCTCAAAACTTGCTTTAAATATTTTGTCTATTTTTAATGAAGAACAATTTCTACCCGGCTTAAATAAAGTTTCCATAAAATAACTAGTAAGATACCCGTGCACTCCCACATGTGAATTTATTTGATTTAGTATAAAATATATTTAAATGTATATTTAAATTTGAAATAAATTATTTTATCATAAAATGAATAATAATCCTAAAAATTTAATTATATTAGATAATCATATAAAAAAGTTATTCATGAGAAGATGGAGAAAGGAAAAAAAACAAAATATGTTTTTTTTCTTTCTTTTAAGATTTAGAAAATTGATATTTTATTTAAATGGGAATTTTTAAAGAATTTATATACATGTTAAAAATTATGACATATGATTATACAATAAATTATTTAGCGTATAATATCAACAAATAACTTGCAGAATGTTCAGATTATAGCGATGTAATATATTTTTAGGCAGAGATATAAGATACTCATGTTATTATTATCAAAATATGAATTATCCACAAAGTATCCATTTGTTTCAACAATCAAATGTTTCAATAAACTTTAAAAAAAGAAAACATCAACTAACTATTACAACTCATACCAACCTAGCAGGCTGGAAAATAAGGTGAAAGATTCACATTATTTGCAATATGTTGATAGAAAAGTAAGGTGAGAGAACCACATTATTTGAAATATGTTGCAAGTGATCTATTAAGTCATGCCCTGCCTTTCTATCATAGATTCAATTCAATTTCCTTATCTGCATATCAGCATCATATCCATCACCTTTAATGCAATTGAATCCATGATTAAATAAATATGATCAAAAACTTTAATCTATAAAAAACTATTAAAAATTCATCACCTTCGCATCATTTGACAGATGCTCAGGAATTTCAGGCATATCTTTGTTGTTTCCAATTTTAAATATGGCAGCTACCTGCCAATACAATATAAAAACAATTTTGGTCTTTCATACTCATCAAACAGGATCATACATTTAAGGGGCTAGATATGAAATATCCAACATCTTACCCCTTCATACTGACTCCACGGAGGCTTCGACGCTGCCATTTCAATAAGTGTGCATCCCAAGCTCCATATATCAACTGGAAGGCTATAGCCATTTGTGTTCATTACAACCTAAGAAAGACATTGGAATACAATAGTTATGGTGAGATAGAAGAAGAAGGGAGAATCAGCTTACATTGAAAGAAATTTCATGATTCAAGAGAAAAAAATAAACTCACCTCAAGTGCCATCCAGTACGGACTTCCTTTGAATGAAAGCATTGAAGCGGCAGAAGTTATCTGTTACAGAAAAATAAAATCTCAGAAAATTCACCACAACTCACTAACCATTCTACACATAAATTATTTTCTTGAGCACTCTAAATTATATTTTCTTCATACCAGTAAAATCGTATTCTAAAACATAAACAAAAGTAGTTTCTGACCTCGTGCCAGTTTGTTTCGGCTTGTCTGAAACATTGAGGCTCTCTAACAGAATTCCACGACCAATTAAGCATGCATGTAGAGTAGTTCTAAACATAATTCAAATATAATACACATATTAGGAATCATTAGAAAAGCAAAATCATGTGTAAAATATTCCTAGGTTCTTGCTTCTGCTTTAATTTCTCAGCACAATTATGTATCAAGTACTCTCCCAATGAAGAAATGCATACAGTACAAATTTTATAAAAACTTGATCATTTAATAATTTCAACACTATTATGTACTCTAATTGGCAATATCTAACTAAAATCTGGCTAGTATGTTAAATCAAAATATATAACTAACAATGAACAAAAGTCACCTCAATTAGTAAAGAGACAACATAATTTTAACCGGTATACAATGCATAACTTACAATGCATATTTTGAAGACCTAGCAGTGTATTGATCATAGGATAGGTTTTCATAAGTTGTATTGCTTGATGATAAAGTAACTATAAATTTAGACATTATAGTAATAACAATGATAAAGTAACTATAAAGCATATTGAGCATTAGTGATAGTATTGAAAGTGAGGCAACATCCCTTACCACCATTACAGATTTAAACATGTGCACAATCATAAT